AAGTTTGGTCCGGTCTAAACTGGTCTCTCATTCTCCCAATGAACAACAGGCAAATAGTACGTATGTTACTGGGATTTTACCTCGATTGGCATGGCACTTTTGGCCAACATTCTTTCTGTGTCAAGTATCTTTATGGAAGCATCAGCAGATCCAGTAGCTATTAACTGCCCATCTCTACTGTAGGTGGCTACGCGGCACGGTCCTTTATGGGATGTGACATAGCATGTTTCGTACTCTGAAGCCTCTGGGGACATAGTTTGGACGTCTGCATCAAATTCCAGGTCAATTCCTGTGCCCGGGGCAACTGTATCTGAACGACCAATTGCATACTGAACTGCAGTATCATCATTTTCCATTCCTGAAAGGAATAAAAATTAAGTGCATGAGGGGTGCCTGGGTGGCTCAGTCGGTTAAGTGTCTGCCTTCAGCTTGGATCATGATCCTGGCGTCCTGGGATCGAGCCCTGCGTTGGGCTCTGTGCTCTGTGGTGAGCCTGCTTTTCCCTCTCCCTCTGGCCCTCCCCCTGCTCCTGCTCTCTCTCTAATAAATAAGTAAAATCTTTATAAAAAAAAAATTAAGTGCACGAGAAAATGTTATTTTAAAAAGCCAAAACAAAATTCTGGATCCAGTGTCAATTTACTCTTTCTTGGAGCTGCATGACACCTAGCGCTTCACAAAATTATGTGTATCGACCTGGGTGCATGCACAGTGACCACACTATGGGCAGTATGGATCAGAGAAGGTTAGGCTCCAATAGGTTACACCAGCTCCCCCGATTTTTGCCTCCAAAATTTTCTACTTTCCAATTACAACTACAGAAATGTAAAAAAAGCAGTCCTATAGTTAAGCTGTCCATTTTCTCCCCCTTCTGGATTTTAATATTTTAGTGCTGAGATCTGTTAGTAGCAGCCTTGAGGCTCATTAAGTCAGATACAATGTTAGCATTAACACTAGTGAAACATATTGAAAGAATGTTGATATTTAAATAAGCGGAAGTTTCTCAAGAAAATGCATTTTAAATTTAAAAATAACTTCACATATCATATAAACAGTATGTTTATTAGTATAAGTAAAATTAGGGATACAGATGAACACAAAAATAAAAATGACCTTCTATTAGATCACCCAGAGATAATTACTGTTAACATGCTGGCATGATTCTTCTGGACCTTTCTCCATGCACAGTTGTTACAATTCTTAAAACAAAAATAGAACCACGCTATATGATATTTTGTAACTTGTTCATTTACTCAAACAAAATAAACATCTGGCCAGTGTAATGTTTATCTACATCATGTTGTTGGACCCAATGTGATGGATACAAGAACATTCACAACTAATTCCTTATTGTTGGGTATTTCAGTTGTATTCATTTTATTTCCTCAAATTTGAACACAAATTCTCAAAATTGGCACTGCTAAGGCAAAGGGTATAAACATGTTGCTAATTCTATATTTTACTGAGTGCTTTCTACAACCCAGGCAAGCACAGGATATATTTTTGAACAAGACAAGATCCTGATCTTTATTGAACTTGCTGTCTTTTCTGGGGAGGTACAGACTATATCGGCAACAACCTGAAACAATGAAGAAAATTTCAGATAGTGATTCTGTTATGAAGGAAATGGGACTGTTGTTTTAGAGTACCTGGGGAGGTATGGGGAAGATAGTGGGTAATTTTAGAAAAGGTGAAGAGGACTCTGAAATACCATTTGAGCTGAAATCTGAAGTCAATAATACAATGAAAGAACGCTTCAGATAATTCTTATACAGAGCCTGAGGCTAGAACCAGCTCAAAATCTTCATAATCTGGGGTCTGCTTACTCTTTCAGTATCAAGCACTGTACTTGACACATACTAGGCACTAAAACTAAACAAAAATAAGCTTGAAAAATTCTGATTACGAAAACCTCTGGAACCTTGTCATGGAATCAATGAATCTGCGTTCAAAGCTACCTAGTTTGATGAGATGCAGGAGCTGCTCCGAGGGCGCACAGACAGACTGAGGCTTGATTTCATTAATGAGGCCATTAGCAATGCTGATGTAGCCATCATAGAGGAGCTGGCTAATGATCAGCTTGTAGAGCTGCTGGCGGTCCTTCAAGCCCACTTTGGTTCTGTACATCGTGGAGAAGAGGAAGACAATTTCCTTGCCAGCTGCAAAATGAGAAAACAGGGATGGTGAAGGGCAGAGGCACTAGGGAGTCACAGAAGCAACACAGCAATCCAGTCAGCCTTACGGGGCATAAATCCCAGCTCAACTAGTTGCATCATCTTTGGTCATCAACCTCCTTCCTCTGAGACCATGTTCCTCAGCTGTTAAGCAAGTTAGCAAAGGTTAAATAAGATGGTGCATGCAGAGCATTGAGCACAGTGGCACACAGAAATTATTCAAATCATGTTAGCGAATATTTACAGAACTTTCCATCAATTTTTCTTCTCTGTCAAACTACCTGCCTGCCATTTTTATTCTCTATTGCTATCCCAGAATCTTGTTTCTTCTGTTATAAGACACTGACTGGTATTTGCAATAGGTAAGACAGCTGTTGTTGTTGAATGTCTAGACACTACTGTTTCCACCAGCTGATCTGTATGTTTACTGATGTCAGCAATGTTCATTCTTAAAACACATTTTAAGATAACTAAATTTGCTAAATTACATAATTTAATTAGATAGTAAATAAAAACACAAGGGCACAAAAGCCACAATGCTTTGGAAAGATTCAAAGATGCTTAATAAAATACTGGCAAGTAGGATATGGCCAAAACAACGATAAAAACGTGGGGGGAAAAAAAGGTAAAAATCTAAAGGATTGTGCCCTTAGATTGGTTCACAAGTGCTTAAGTTCTCTCTTAGTGAAATGAAAACTGTAGATGATGGTTTCTGGTCTATGCAAAAAAATAAGTCCAATTGGTGGACATGAGTGGATAATTTGACTTCGAAAAATCAATGTTTGTATGTGTATGTTTATCTGGACAGCGATCAGAAGGCCACAGGAATCTGGGGCCAGTAATAAGGAACAGAAGTCACAGGCAGACAAGAAATTGAAAGTCAGAGCACAGGGGAGAAAGGAATACCAGAAAGGAGAGGAGTGAGCAGTAACACCAGTACTGCCTGGATTGCTGTACTTTACAGGGAAAGATTCTGGAAGGGGGGTGTCTTACAGTAAAGGAGTGGGGAACCATGTTTTCTAACTCCCCCTGGAGAATAACTGAAGCTACTGATCATAAGAACAGCTAACAGTTACTGAGTGTTCAGCATGTTTCTTCTTACTTAGTCCTCAACACCATCCTGTAAGGGAGGCCCTGAAATCTTGTTTACAGATGAGAAGGGAAAATAACTTGTCCAAGGGCCCATGACCAGTGCCTGGAGAAACCGGGACTAGAATACAGATGGTTTAACTCAAGGACTGTGTTGTCCCTGATGACTTTCTGTAGTGCTCCTTAAAAATTTAATGACAGGGGCGCCTGGGTGGCTCAGTCCATTAAGCATCTGCCTTCAGCTCAGGTCATGATCCCGGGATCCTGGGACTGAGCCCCGCATAGGGCTCCCTGCTCATTGGGGAGCCTGCTTCTCCCTCTGCCCCTCCCCCTGCTCATGCTCCCTCTCTCGCTCTCAAATAAACAAAAATCTTTAAAAAATTCAGTAATAAACTAGCTAAAATTTATTAGACATAAGTGTAGTATATAACACAGCGTAAGCAACTTATGCATTACCTCATTTAATACTCATCTAATCCTATTTTAGAGGCAACCTGAGGTGCAGAGAGGTTAACTTACCCAGGATCAAAGAGCTTGTCAATGACACAGCCTGGATCCTTACCCAGGCTATCTGACCTCAGAGCTCCAGTCTTTACTGTGCTGCACTGATGGGTGTTAATAACTGCAGCTAACATTTATTAAGCACTTGCCAGACACCGTGCTAAGCACTTTACAAGCGTTAGCTCACTGAATGAAATCATTCAACGTATTTAAGCAGACGTAGAAGCAACTGTATATAAATCTGTGCTTGTGTAGACAACGCTACGACACAACAGAGATGATGAAACAGGCATAAAGAGGTTAGGAAACTGAAAATAAAGTGTGGTTGAGTAACTCGTCAAGTGGCCGCCTGGACTGCCCACAGCAGAGCCCAGAACTTAACCACTATTCTCTCCCGTCTCTGCACCCATGCCAGGAGCATCGGCGGGGTATACAAAGATTAAGAAAGAAAAGAAAGGACGAGGCCCGCTTCTCAAGTCTCACAGAACGTTCGCTCGCTGGGCTAGTAAGTGCCTAATTACCACCCCTAATTTGCAGGTGAGGACGCCGAGGCCCCAGGACGGGAAGAACAAACCCTAGGAACTGTCTACACCCGGAACTGGAAGGGGGACCAGGGCGAGAACACACACGCCCCCTTCACGAAGCTCCGCTACCATCCCGCGGTAGAAGCGAACTAAGGATGAGTGAGGGTGGGAGCGAGGCCTTCGAGGAAAAGAAGAGGGTGTGCAGGCCCAGCCTAGCAACTCTGGGCGCATGCCACCCCGCTCACTATCGGGCCTTCCCGCCTCGCTCATCTTTCCTGTGGTTCCGTGAAGACCCCAGCGGACCGCACCAGGCGCTCTCCATGCATCCCAGGCCCTCAGTACCCGCTAGTCCGGCTCTCTCGATCTCCCGCTTTCTCCCAGAAAAATGGAGGCGCGAATTCTGCCCGATCGATCGCTATGAGCGCACGTTCACTGCGCACGCGCAAAGGGCGAAGCGCCGAGCGCTGCGCTATCGATCGGCCCCACTCTCGCCTGCCCTTCTCGCCATCTTACTTACTGGCGCGTTGGAGTAGTTCGTTAACCTCCTCCGACTTTATCTCTTGCGCGACAACGTTGATTGGCACGAAGGAAATGCTGTCTGGCCGACAAACGTCGGATCCCGGAGAGCACCGCGGGCGCTAGAACTGCCAAAGTCTGGCGGGCGGTTGGCTCCACCACTTCCGGGGCCTTACCGGGCAAGTGCGCCTGCGCGCTGTCACCGCCTTGGACGTGACTCAAGCCGTCCGGTTGGCTGTGAACCAATCAAAAGGCAGCGCCTGTCTAGCCCAGGCCAATCAGCTTTCAGATTAGAGGGTTTAACTCCTATTTAAAATGTAGACTTTGAATCTTAACGGCTGAGCGCTCGGGAGGACTCGGCTGCCTTGGGTCGGAGGCGGGAGCCGACGGGTTCGTAGACTCTGGGACAGCTCTGTGAGACGGGTGGGCGAGGGCGGCGGGCCTGGTGGCTTTTTAGCGGGCGGCGGGACGGGTGGGAAGGAAGAGGGCGGTGGGGCTGCGGGGCTGGCGGGGAAGAGTCGGGACGAGGCCTCCCTCGGTGGCCCCCCCCCCCACTTTGGTCCTCCTCGGTCCGCCTCAGTCCTTCTCTTCCTCTCCCCGCCTGCATCCTCCCCGCTCCCCTCCTCTGCCCCCCCCCCCCGGTGCTTTCGCAGCGCCCTCCCCTCTGCTCGCGGGTACTGGGGCGCCCTGTAAGATGCCGCTTGGTGTTTACTAAACACCTGCAGTGCATGGGTTGTTGAGTGGCATTGGGGGTGGGGGTGCTTTCTGATGGGGTTCTCGTATTCGGTGAGTACCTGGGTAAGAAAAAAATAGGAGAGCTTTTGCTCTCTGGGAGTTTGCGTTCTAGCGGGGGTGGGGCGCCAGACGACGACCTGGCCGGAGAACTTGCAAAAGAAAACAGTAGTGTGGTTTACCGGGGGCTACTTTGGATAGCATAGCCAGGAAGGACCCTTGTCCTGGATGGGTGAGTGGGTGAATAAATGAAAACTTCCTCGAAGAGGTTTTCTTTGGCTAGTGCTTCTCAAGCCGCAGATCTTGGACCGCGTTTATCGTGATTTCAGAGGGTCCTTGTGAAAAATGTAGACCCACCTAATGAATCAGAAGCGCTTGGGCCTAGAGGACTCAGGTGTCTGTAGTTTGTCAAATTTCCCAGGTGATTCTGATGTTTCATGGAGAACCAATGATCTAGACCAGCGCATACTAGACGTCTGGGGATGTTAAAATGCAGGATCTGATTTGTTAGGTCTGTGGTTGGGCCCGAAAGTCTCCATTTCTAGCAAGTGCCCTCCAGATGGAGATGGAGCTACTACTGCCCTTGACTTTTAACGGTTCCTCCTCTCTCCTTAACCTTTCTTGTTCTTTGAATCAGATTCTTTTCAGCCACATACTCATTCCCACTCTCCTCTAAGTCTATGCAGACACTAGCAAGTTTGATGAAGAAAAAGTCTAAAGGCATAGTGCTATATAAACTGAACAGTTTTCCTGTTTAGAATAGTATGAATATGTGGCTTGAATTGCAGGAATCTTGCGCAAGTCATTGGGTCATGTGACCCTGGCTGTGGACTGGAATCATTTGAGAAACAATTTTCCTGGGGCTCTCTCCAGAATTTTTGGATCAGAATCTTACTCCATCCTGTTTATTATTATCTTCCTGAGAAGGAAAAGTATATTCAGTTGGGGCAAATATCTAGTTTCTGTTGAAGACTATTGAATAAATGTCCTTAAGCCTGTGTGATCTCATTAGTCTGCTGCTTGTGATCGTTAGGGAAAGTGAAGAAAGCATTAGAGCGTGTGTGAAATTAATGTTTGCATAACACAAGCTTATAACTCCTTTTTCCTTTCTGTCATTTCTCCTAACCTGTTTGATATAAGGACTCCTTGCTCTGTAGCTGTGGTTCTATCTTCAAAGTGGAGTTATTTGCTTATTTGTGAAATGGATGTGAAAGTGTGGGGGTGGGGGACACTTTCTGATTGGATTCTAGAATTCAGAGCACCTGGGCAGGAAAAATACAGAGAGGTTTGTTTCTTGGAGTTTATGTCCTACTTACTTGATATATTGCTGTGCCTGACTCACAGTATGAGCTTAGTAAGTGTTATAAACTATTTGTATTATTGATTTGCTTTCTTAATGGATTAACTCATTCCCCAAACACTGGTGTAGGAACTACATACCAGACATGATCTGGGGAGGCAACATAAACAAAATGGGACTAAGCCCTCGCTCTCATGGAGCTTACTTTCCTTGGGGATACTGAGCAGGTAGCGGGATATTGTCTGGGAGGACAGAAGTAAACAAGTACAAGTAATGTTATGTAAGATGTTAAGTAAGGGCTATGAAGAAAAATAAAAGCAAGATGGTCCGAAAGGAAACGTCTGAGCGGAGACTTGAATGTAATGAAGGAGCAAGCCACACTTCTATTTGAGGGAAGAGCCAAGTGGGTAGAAGAGCCAAGTGGGTAGAGGGAAGTACAAAGGCCCTGTGGCAGGGGACTGCTTTGAGGAAAGAAAGAAGCCCTGTATGGCTGGTGTGCAATAGAAAAGAGGAGATAAGGCCAGAAAGGTGGTCAGGGTCCATACTCTGAGACTGTAGGCCTGTCTATGCAGGTAGGATTTTGAATTTGAGTTGAGGGACCATGAGGGGCTTCTGAACCAAGGACCAGCATAGCTGACTTAATAGTTTGCGAAAGGACCATAATGGGGCAAGGGTGGAAGCAGAGTGATCATGGGAAGCCTGTTGCAAAGAGTTGAAGGGAGAGAGCATTGGTGTGATCAGGTGGTGGTATTAAAGGTCCTGAGCAGTGATTTTAAAGGTAGAGCCTACAAGATATGCTGATGGATTGATTAGATGTGGGGTTTGAGGGAGAACCGTGTAAAGGATAGTTGACACGAGCAACTGGCAGGCGGGGTTTGCCAGTAACTGAGATGGGGACATTTGTGAGAACAGGGTTGGACAGATCGGGGTAGGGAGGGAGCAGGAATTCAGTTTGAGACATTTTAAAATTGGGGGGGCCTCCGATTACAGGCGGAGATGTTTCATAGGTGGTAGGAGTTCAGGAAAGGTCTGGACTGGAGAAGGAAGTTTGGAGGTCCTGAGCCTGTGAATGGTATTGAGAGCCAGGAAACTGGATGAGTTCCTATAGGGAATGAAGATAGCTGCAAAAGAGTGTTTCTGGGCCTAAGCTCAGGCTGCTCCTGAGAGCGGAGGGGAAGAAAAGCTAGGAGGAGAGAAGAGGTTCTTTCTGGATGTGTTGGGAGTGAGGTGCTTGGCAGACCTTTCTGGGGGATACTGAGCAGGTAGGTAGGTAGGTAGGAGTCTGGCAGTCAGAGGAGAGGTTAGGGTAGAAGATGTAAATTCACATCATCTTAAAGATGTTTCAAGCACTGGTGCTGGATGAGGGGTGCCCTAGGAAGGGTAGGGATGAAGAAGTGGGGTCAAAGGACTCATTCCAGGTCACCCCAGACTTTCAGGTTGGCAAAAGTGAGGCTAATCGAGCAAAGGAGGTTGCAGTAGGACAGCTGATAACATGGGGTACCACCCTGCAAGCTAGCAGAGGCTGGGAGTGGGAAAAGAGCCACCCTGTCAAATGCTGCTGGGGGACACCAATCTGGTGACAGTAGACGTCAGTCATGAGCCGGCCCCTTGGTGGGTATGAAATCCTGATGGGGGAGAGGGCTAGAGGCTGAGAGAAATGGTGGATGTGGTGAGTGTGGATGACTGTTCTGGAGCTTTGCTGTTGAAGGGTGAGGAGAGAGGTGCTGTCATAGCCAGAGTCCGTTATGGGGAAGAGAGGACCTGCTTTTAAAAGGCAGCAGGGTTGGAAGCAGGCTCCTGCACTGATAAGTAATCCTTTAGAGACAAGCTGGTGGAGCGGGAGGACTCAGGGAGTGAAGCTGGGGGCTGGGGGAGGGGATGCAGTGTGGGGTGGAAGCCCCACACCTGTCCCTTATGTCACCTGAGAAAACAAGGCTCCCTGGCCAGCTTCATTTGGACAAAGAAAAAGTGTGAAATTCTGTGTTGTGGAGGCTTTTTCATCAGGAGCTATAACCGGGATCTAGCATAACTGCACTGGGAAGCACGAGGATTTGTATAAATTAAAGATGGTTCTTTTTCTTTTCAGGCATCATGGACCGATCTAAAGAAAACTGCATTGCAGGGCCTCTTAAGGTAAATTGGATAATCTGTATTCTCGATCACATTTATAAAACCCAGTGGAGATTGGTTTTATATCTGGAGTTCTTTTTACTTTTACTTTGGATTGTAACTTTAGAACTCTCTGCTACATTCCTGGATGTCGGTCTCTTTTCCTGGCATTCAGTAACATTTTGTGGATTGTCACTGTAGCTTTTATTTTGTTCTGCTTTGTCTTCTAGCTAGCTGTTTAAGTATCTGCATTCCTCCAATGTGTGTAGGATAATACTGCACACAACAGGTTCCTAATACTTGCTTGTGCTTACTTGCTCACCAGAAATGAAATTGCTTTGCCGTAGTTTGTTCTGGTCACGATTCAGGGAATGGTAAGCTCAGAGGCTGTCAAGCTGCATTGTAGTGACCATTTCCTGGGAGCCCACTTTGAGCCAGGGTCTGTGTCGGATGCAGGGATTACAATGGTGAAAAGCACATGGCCTTTGACATTGAAGAGCTTAGCCCTTTGGGGGAGTTATGTGAGCCAGTACCACGCCGTCATAAAATATGTGTGTATGAAATGACCTGAATAATTCTGCCGAGGGGTGCTCAATTCAGATTGGGCTAGGTTGGAATCCAGGAAGGCTTCACCTAGGAAAGACCCCTAGTCTTAGAATTTAATGAATATTTGTGGAGCAGCTGGGGGAATAAGTCTTTATATAAAGATCCTTTAATATAAGTAATCCCCAGATTTTATTCCTTCTAGGAAGTCAGCATAAAAATGCAAATCTTCCTTCTTGATTTATGTGTGTGTGGGGGGGTGTCTTGTTTTTAGAAGTTTTTTTCTTTTTTTTGTGTGTTTTTTGCGTGTGCGTGGTTTTTTTTTTTTTTTTTGAGAGAGCATGCATGAGCAGGGTGTGTGTGGGCGGGCGGAGGGGATGGGAGAGGAAGAGAGAAAGAGAATCTTAAGTAGGTTTCACACTCAGTGCTGAGCCCAACCTGGGGCTTGATATCAGGACCTCCTGAGATTACAACTGGAGCCGAAACCAAGAGTTGGACGTCCAGTCTACTGAGCCACCCAGGTGCCCCTATTTTTAACTTGTTGAGGACCCTCCATACTGTTTTTCACAGTGGCTGCCCCAGTTTGCATTTCCACCAACAGTGCACAAGGGTTCCTTTTTCTCCACGTCCTTGCCAACACTTGTTTCTTGTGTTTTTGACTTTAGCCATGCTGACAGGGTGAGAAGTTTTCATTTTCAAATAAATGGATACTTATCCTTTTTTTTTTTTTTTTTTTTTTACTGGCTGAAAGTCTAAAATAACCAATTAGAAAAAGGCTAACTTGAGTCCTTGTATTTGATTCTCAATTCTTATGATAAAGATCACTTTATTTTTTATTTTTTTAAATTTTATTTTATTATGTTAGTCACCATACAATACATCATTATATTTTTTTTAAAGAATTTTTATTTATTTGAGAGACTGAGCCCGTGTGCACCAGCAGGGGGAGAGGGAGAGGGAGAAGCAGGCTCCCTGATGAGCAGGGAACCCCACGCTGCCAATCCCAGGACCCTGAGATCATGACTTGAGCTGAAGGCAGATGCTTAACTGACTGAGCCACCCAAGTGCCCCTGATAAAGATCATTTTTAAAAAACTGCTCTGTTTAAAATGTTTGTCACTGCCTGAATGCCTACTGTGTTGTGGACATTGCTAATTTCAGAAGTAATTGACTTTTTACTTGGAAGTTGGGAACTATCTCTTGTGAGGCACTCTGAGGCTTCCCTTGTCAGCCTTGTTCCCTCATTTATGAGGAAATTTCCTCCACTGAAGTTGGAGGAAGTCTTCCACCCCATTTTAGTTTGATTAGTTCAAGGTCTTAGAATTAACTATTTTTTAAGCTTATGATCCCCTACTTACAGGCATGTAAATAATATATTTTGGCATAATTCTTCGAAGAACCTGTTTGTTTCCTCTTTGCCATAGTTCTTTTGGCTCAGACCCATTTTGTAAGTATTTGGGACAATGAAACATTAGTAAATAATTAATAGTAATAAGTATTTTGTGGAAAATCTGGAATATGCAAAAATTCAGACTTTTTTTTTTAAGGTTTTACTTATTTATTGGACAGAGCACAAGCAGGGGGAGTGGCAGGCAGAGAAATGGGGAGAAGGAGAAGCAGGCTCCCTGCTGAGCAGGGAGCCCGATGCTGGACTTGAACCCAGGACCCCGGGATCATGACCTGAGCCGAAGGCAGACGCTTAACCGATGGAGCCACCCACGTGGCTCTCAGACTGTCTTCTAAAACATCTTGACTTGAAGATAACCACTGTTAAATATTTTGACATATTTCTTTGTCTTTTTTTTTCTAAACGTCTGTACGGTATTGCCAAAGAAATGTCAATGAAATTGGAATTTTGGTATAAAGTTTCTGTATTGTGCTTTTTGCTAAGTAATAATTTCCAAGTCATTGAGAATTCTTGGAAAGTGTTTGATGTCTCCCTCTTCAGATGAAAGTTTAGTTAATGAACATTTATTTATGGGAGCATGATTTTTAGGGGTGGGGTGTTGGGGTGTGTGGGAGGTATCCTTCAGGTATTCCTTTCAGCTGTATATTATGTACCATATGTACCTTCAGGTATTCCTTTCAGCTGTATATATGTACCATATCCTCTGGGAGTGCTGATGAAAATAGCTTTCCCCTTCCATGGATTATCAATGACCTTCAGTATTTTGTTATACTAGAAAACAGACTTTGTGAAATTCTCAAAATACTGAGCTTTTGTTGATGAAGACATGAAATTTATTTTTCCTTCCCAACCTAGACTACGATTGCACTCGGTGATGGTCCAAAACGTGTTCCGGTGACTCAGCAAATTCCTTCTCAGAATCCGTTATCTGCGAATAGTGGCCAGGCCCAGCGGGTCTTGTGTCCTTCAAATTCCTCCCAGCGAATTCCTCCACAAGCACCAAAGCTCGTCTCCAGCCATAAACCAGTTCAGAATCTGAAGCAGAAGCAATTGCAGACAACCAGTGTTCCCCGTCCTGTCTCTAGGCCACTGAATAATACCCAAAAGAATGAGCAGTCGTCATCATCAGCCCCTGGTAAATCAGCTTTTTGAGACTTCTATTGGATAGTTATTATTTCTTTTAGTTGCTTAAAAAAGGGGTGGTGGCAAGTGAATAGACTTGCATTTATTGTTTGGAGCCCTGGCATTTACATCTTTTTTTTATTGTGGATGGGGGGAAAATCTGATGTCAGGTTGAAGTAGCCGTGTCTCCTGTGGGCCAGCCCTGTGCCCAGGATAGAGAGCTGATTCCTACCTTCCTGGTATGCTTGAAGAACTGAAGTTCCAGGGCTGGGAGTGTGGAGGGCAGTCGGGGAAGTGGATGGACTTGGATGGACTGAGGCCGCGGGGTAAGGTCACGGTGGGCACTGTGGCTATGTTGCGGAGTGGGGCTTCACCCCCTGTGAATGGGGAAATTGCTGAAAGGTTTTTAAGCAGAGGAGGCACCGGACTTTTAGAAAGAAGCTTCCTCTGGATGTGTGGAATGAAGTGGAAGGTAGTGACGCTGCCCTTCGGGGTAGCAGACAGGAAGCAGGCTGCTGGGGATTAGGTCAAAGACGGTAGCCTGAACTGGGTGGAGCAGGGTGGATATTAATAGTTACTATTTATCAGCTTTGTGTGCTCACCGTCAGGAGAAGTGCTCCCTTCATCCGTGTTGTCTCATTCAGTCCTCGGAACCACTGTGAAGGGAGTCTGTTATTAACTCTGTTTGACAGACGAGGAAGTGGAGAAGCATTCACTTACCCTCAGACACAGCCAGGATGGAGAAGTGCAGGCAAATTCAAGTGCTCCCTGAGGATGCAGACAGGATAGAACTGGGCAGTCAACTGGTCATAGGGATGGTGGTCATATTGATGGCATTAATGGAGATGGTGAAGCGTGGAGGGGGAAACCAGCTGGGGCCCGCATGCAGGTATCTGAGCAGAGCGTACCCTGCTGCTGCTGGAGTTTGAAGTGGAAATGTCCTATGTAGCCTCTGGCTAATGACTTCACCCTGTTGTGCAATTTGTTTATTGTACATTTTGCTGACTCTGTGGCTTCTATTTTTTTATTTCTCCCTGGCAGCTAATCTAGTGGAAGAAAGGTGGTTGGTTTATGTTTTGTTGCACGTCGTTGATAACTTGTACACACATACATCTGGACAGTGGACTAGCCCACCTAGTGGGGGAGAAGCTGATGAGTGGGAGCATATCATGGATGGAGATTTTGGCAATTCTGCTTTAGAGGCTCTTCATTTGGAAACTGAAGCTTCAGGGAGAATCTGCATAGTCTTGAGTCTTTAAATTTTCAGAGGGCCTAGCTGTATATGTATCTGCTCATCTTTACTCTAGAAATCTGTAAAGACTTTACCTGGTAGGAGTCAGGGTAGGGTGTGGTAATCTTTTTTCTATAAAGAAAGCTAAAAATAGCCCAGATCTACCATTCTGGACATACCATTAATATTTTGGTGACCATTCTTTGTTTCATTTCTGTTCATAGGTTTTTAATTACTTATAGTTATTCTAAAATGTAGTTGTTCTAAAAATAGATTTTTAATTTATTCTACATAGGACATAATTCTGAAAAGGAACTGGCAACAAAACAGAAAAATGAAGAATCAAAAAAGTAAGCTTTATCCTATTTACAAAGTCCTGTGCTATCATTCTATTAGAATACACCATTGCAAGTTTAATTATGGGAACACATTAAAAAGTAAAAATGTCTTATATTTTCACTCAAAATATAAATCTTCCCAAATTCTAACCTTTCAAAAGAAAAAAAAAAAGGAATTTTAATGATGTTTACTAGGGACTCAAGCTTTTCTTATTGCTTTCCAAATTTAGAAAAAAACTTACTGGGGCGCCTGGGTGGCTCAGTTGGTTAAGCAGCTGCCTTCGGCTCAGATCATGATCCCAGGGTCCTGGGATCAAGCCCCACATTGGGCTTCCTGCTCGGTGGGGAGCCTGCTTCTCCCTCTCCCTCTGCCTGCCTCTCTGCCTACTTGTGCTCTCGCTCTCTCTGTCAAATAAATAAAATCTTAAAAAAAACAAAAAACTTGTATGAATCTGTTACAGAAATGTGTAAAATAAGTTTCTCTCTACCTTCAGAAGTAACCACTACATAGAGTGTAGGTATGTTTCTATATTTATTTTTATTCTTATACAAAAGAGCAAGTTTGTTAAACAAAAGGCAGTCATGTTACAAAACTAAAGACACATGTATATATGACTCTGAATATTTTGACACTATCATTTGAAGTATTCTTCGGTATCTTCCCCAGATATTTTCCAAAAGTCTGCTCTCAATTTCTGAACTGTCTAGACTCGAGAATGTAAAATGTTATGTCTAGAATGTAGTAGGAGGAGCCAGGAATGAACCCACAGCCTTTTTTGCTTTAGCTGCGTGTAATAGCAGCTTTCTGAGAATCTAAATCCAGTGGTTCTCGCCCCCGCTACCCTGTAGGATCCATCCCACTTGCTTTATCAGGGTGATTCTCCACCCCAGAGAGTTAGCATCTCTGGGATGGAGGAGGAGGCTGTGGTTAGAGTTCTGAAGACTTCTTCCAATTACTTACCTAACCTTCCCTGTGGTCTTCAGTGGTGGTAATAGGTCTGTAATTCAGAGCGTAGTAGTGCCTTGGGAACTTTGCATTAGTCTTCAGCTCTAAAAGGCCAGATTGTTCCTTGTCACTGACTCAGTCGTTGGCAGGTGGGGGAGTAGGGGGTTTAATGTCTGTGGAGACTCACATATGGTGGTTATTGGCTTGGTCCTTGCCGAAGTACATACTGAATACAACTTCAAATATAAAATTATTTATAGGTATATCTACAACTCCTTAATAAACTTAGATAATCTTCACATTTTAAAATGTTCACATTTTTTCCTAGAAGGCAATGGGCTTTGGAAGATTTTGAAATTGGTCGTCCACTGGGTAAAGGAAAGTTTGGTAATGTTTACTTGGCAAGAGAAAAGCAAAGCAAGTTTATCCTGGCTCTTAAAGTATTATTTAAAGCTCAACTGGAGAAAGCAGGAGTTGAGCATCAGCTGAGAAGAGAAGTAGAAATACAATCCCACCTTAGGTAAGTTTCCAGATTGATGTTCAAAAGAATGTGCTGCAGAACTTAATTACAGGGAGTTAAACAGTGGAAGGCCTGCTCTGTAGGACTGCAAAGAGTGATTTAATTCGTCATTTTTCAAGGATTTATCTAGACAAGTGCTGTGGTCCTGAAAACCACTTGGAGGTTTGTGCTTTTTTAATGACTTATGTACATGAGTCAAGTGTGTGTGTGTGTCTGCATGTGCATAATTAAGGGGAATGATACTTCTGAGCTCTAAGCAGAGGTTGCAAACTGGCAGCCTCTGCAGGTTGACTTTGGCCAGTGGGTCTTTTTCTTTTCTTTTTTTGCTTCCAGTATTTTTTCCAGACTTGAATTAGTCGTGCATACTGACAGACTTGTCTGCATCAGGCCTGTATCCTTCCCTGGCAACAGCTGACGGGAGCTGAAGGCTGCTGTCCTGGGCGGTGTTCTCAGCTGCCCGAAGTCCTCAGCAGCCCACTTCTCCCGCCCAACACTGCTTTGAAGTTGTGTCTCCTGGTGTTTGGGGAATCAAACTGCTGTGGGGATGCCATGTCTCTCTTTCTCTAACGTGCAGAGAATTAACATTTAGCTGAATTTTTTCCCCCTAAGAATAAAGATGGCCCGAGGGAAGGAAATAGTCTTAACTAAACCTAAGGTCCATTAATACCTTGTAATGTTTGCCAACTAACTGCAGATGCATGTATTTTTTTTTCCCCGAGTAGGTCTGTAGTTTCAGATTCTCAAGTACGTGGGGGGTGTGGTGAGGGGTGTGGTGGGGTGGTCTGTGACCAGAACCAATTTTCACTAGTTTTACATAAGGGGTTTGATTAGTAGTTAGTACATATTTTTGTATTTTTTCCAAAACCAGGTGTTAGAGTATTCATCCTTTGTTGCAGGCATCCAAATATTCTCAGACTGTATGGTTATTTCCATGATGCCACCAGAGTTTACCTAATTCTAGAATATGCACCTCTCGGAGCTGTCTACAGAGAACTTCAGAAACTGTCAAAGTTTGATGAGCAGAGAACTGCTACT